ACGTTTTTAAATTAGATTTCTAAAAAACAAGGTGAAAAACTCAAAATCTCTGATTATTTTAGTTAATTTTGAAAAAATAAAGTTGTTTATTTTCTGTCTCTACAGTTTTCCAAGTTGCCAAATTTACTACACTTGAACAATTAATTGATTGATTAAGGTTACAGTAACAGGTTTTAAAATTGAGTGAGATGCCATTAATGATAATTAAAAGATGGTTCACGCATCAATTTCGGTTATTTTTTAAACCAAATTTCGAGGTTCATTATTGCATATAAGGTGTTGTCATGGCTGAATTAAGTAATATTCTAAAATTTATGGTTTCGTTGCTGTTTTTGGTAGAAAACTATTATCATAATTAAAAATAAATGGTCGGTAAACGGGTATTTACTGCTAAATGGTGTTTCTAAATTAAAATTCAATTACACAGCCAAATTTTGTGAGATTTATTCGAGAGAGAGATTTTATCACTAGTGAATAAAGTAATTCTGATTATCAATCGCATTTTAGAAATAGATAATAGTTTTTTCATAAAAAAATAATTTTTGCGATTAATTTTACATATAGTACTAGTTTTTCATAAGAATTAAAAAATTTTGAATTTTTTTGTTGAAATTTTTTGGTCGATTTTTGGCACCCGGAGCGGTCTATTGCCAATAACTTCGAACTTATTGGTAATAACCTCTTATGTTTGGTACCGTTGGAAAGCAAATTTAATTTTCTATCATATAAAAAAAGATCAGTGTTCAACGATAAATAGTTATCGAGAAAATTTGTGATAAAGTCAAAAGTATGGATAATATAAACCCGACCATAACTTCAAAACTATTAGGAATTTTGCAATTTTTTTGACGTCAATCGATTCCCCGGAACATTTTACATAGGTTTAGGTCAAAGTATTATTGAGGCACAGTTTTGCCGCAATTTACAAAACAAAAAAAAGTAAAAATTTGTTACACGACCAAACCCCCCCCCCCCTCCCTTAAAATCTAGTGTTTTTGGGTTATTGGGTCAAGTTTAAAAAATTACGAATTTTTTGAGTTTTTCAAGGTGAGCTAGTAAAATCGTAAAAATAGTCAATTTCCTAAAAGTCGTAAAAACGCTTGAAATATGGTTTTCTAGAGGTAAAATTACGCGCTGAACACGATGCAACTAGTTTAGAATACTCTACGATGCATAGTTTTTGAGATATTGAGTAATAAAGTCAAAAATAATAAAATGAGGCCAATCGATTCCCCGGAACATTTTATATAGAATTAGGTCAAAATATTATATCATTGAGGCACAGTTTCACAATTCTCCGGTTAATTTTACATATACTACTAGTTTTTCATAAGAATAAAAAAATTTTGATTTTTTAGTCAAAATCGGATATTTCTAGCCTTATTTTTGACTTTATTACTCAATATCTCAAAAACTATGCGTCGCAGAGTATTTTAAGCGCGTAATTTTACGTCTAGAAAACCATATTTCAAGCGTTTTTACGACTTTTTTTTGACTATTTTACGATTTTACTACCGCTCACCTTGAAAAACTCGACAAATTCGTAATATTATAAACTTGACCCAATAACGTTTTATGCATTTTTTTGAGTGTTTAAGACCTCTATAAATGTAAAAAACGTTATATGGATGAATTTTAAGGTTAAAAATTTTTTTGATTTTCGTCGAAATTTTGGTCGATTTTTGACACCCGGAGCGGTCTATTGCCAATAACTCCGGACTTATTGGTAATAACCTCTGATGTTTGGTACCTTTGGAAAGCAAATTTAATTTTCTATCATATAAAAAAAAAATCAGTGTTCAACGATAAACAGTTATCGAGCAAATTTCTGATAAAGTGAAAAATATCAAAAATATAAATCCGACTATAACTTCAAAACTATTAAGAATTTTGCAATTTTCTTGACGCCAATCGATTCCCCAGAGCATTTTACATATATTTAAATCAAAATATTGTATCACAGTTTTGCTGCAATTTACGTCTCTTCATGGGTTGTTATAATAATTGGCATTTTTTGGAATTCTCTCATAATGAAGTGACGTAAATTACCTACCCGTACCCTAATTCAATGTAATTCCGCATTTCGCGCAATAATAAAAGGTTAAATATCACACATATTGAATTCCACTCTATAATTATCGACTACAATATTTTCTAAATATAAACCAACATAATAGAATAAAGCTTCACATTCTTCAATAATAAAGACATGTATAGATTATGATATATTATACCTGTCGCAACTGATATGCTTAAAATCTCCAACAATTGTGTAATGTGATGCAGGAATAGCGTGGCTTATTATAAAACTAACACATTATTGCGTATTAACATTCATAAATCCTTTTCGGGTAAAAACAGTTCGCAATTATAAGACTTATTATGACGAGAGTGTCGTAATTAAAAAATATCGAGGTAATGAGCTGTAAACATAAAAAACGGCTCTTGATGAACTTAGATGTGTAAGATTGCGCCAATTTAATAATTGCATATGAGAGATAACTCAGTGATTTGTAATAATCTAAAAGCATAATAATTATTGAGACGCATTAGTCGAGAAGATGAGCACTAACATAATACTAATCCATAACGCAACATCCTACCAATAATTTTGTTTTCCCTAATTAATTTTACTTTATTAGGTAATCAAACATGTTTTAATCTCATCCTCATCCTCAAGATTAGCGGAATAAAAGCATTGTAATCACAAGGAAATATGATTGATGTGTAGCAACACCAACATTATTATGTGACTAGGCTAGAAAGGTGTCAAGAAGGATAATTTTAGCATTTTGTTTAGTAGTTTATTTACCTAGATATTTATTTACTGGACAAATACTTTCTAGACGGCGGCGTGTGAATTAAGCTGAATTATTGCATTCGCAAAAGGGCAATTTTAATTACAAGCCAACCCAAGATGGAGACGCTAATTTGGGGACAATAGATTTTGAAAAAATTTACAATTATGTAATAATAAACATTAAAGCAATAAAAATAGTATATTATGTCCAAGGTGCGTAGCATCGAGGGAAATAATAAATGCCAGGCTATAAAAATCTTCTCTACCGTGTTTTATATAACATTTTTTTTACTAATAGCACATTTATTACCCAGAAATACAACGGTGAAAAATATAATTATTAACTCACTATGTACAGACGGAACCAAAAGTAACGCACAAAATGCATATCTTTGTTTTGAGTCATTAAAAAAAATCCTCGAAGAGGTCGTTTTTTTTTAATCATTCGTTTTTGAGTAATGACGTCATTTTTAATTTTTATTTTAATGTCAACTAACATTTTT